GCATCCATAGAAGCAGTTGGTTTCCTCGGAAATCTCTTGGACAGGACAACGACGAGGTGGTCCCTAAAGAAAGTTGGATAAGTATTTGTACTATTTCAAGGCATAGAGTTTCTATATATATATATATATATATATATATATATATATATATATATATATATATATAATACGGATCCAAACATTGATTTTTTCGACAGAAATGCTTTCGATTACTTTTTGGTTTTTTATTTTTTTCCCTCATTTTCAGATTTTTCTAGCGGAGTTTCTTATTTTTATAATTCTAAATATAATTTGATTTGAAAATCAACGATCTATCTCTTTTTTTATTTTTTTATTGTTTAATTTTTTTTCTACAACGTTATGGTACTTTTTTTATATTACGGAAAACATTGTAATTTAGTGTAACTGATTTTTTTTTTAGATTGGTTTCTATATTTGATTTAGGAATCATATATATTCTTTTTATTTTTTATAATAATATTTAAGCATGGTTCATAAATATTTTTCTACTATTTTTTCAGTTTATTCCCTTTGGGAAAGGGTGCTTTTGAAAATGTAGCCATGTCAAATTATTTGAATATGTATTTTTGAAAATAAAAAAATATTTAAGAAGTCAACAATACCAAATAATATAGAAGTCAAATTATTTGAGTCATTAAATGTTCTCTATTATAAATAAATAAATATTAAAATAATTTGACTTCTATATAGGTTATAGAATCTTTCAACAAGCCTATAATATTTTTAGCACATTCTCAAAAGTAGTGTAACTTCATTACAAATTTTTGTAATAGAAGAAAATAAAATAAAATAAACTAAAAATATCTAATGAATCTTTCTTATGTATCCTTATGAAAAATATTTTTAGAAAACTTATGAGTATAGGTATAGGAATCAACCTAAAAAAAATAAAGTTTTAATATTTTCAATAATACAAAAAAGATTTTATTGAAATAGAAAAATATTGTGTCTGGGGTAGAAAAAAGAAGAAGAAGAAAAGAGACAGATAGTTGATTTTCAAATCAAGAGTATATTCGGAATTAGGTAAAAAAGAAGTAGCGTTGCTAGAAAAAAAAATGAAAATGGAGAAAATCTTTCAGGAAAACCCCAAGGGATTTTTTTTCTTTGAAAAATCACCCTTACATTTTTATCTTTCATTTTGTTTTCTGTTTCAACCCATTAATCAAGATAATACGACCGGTTTAAGCTAATATGTTCTAAATTATTTGCAAAAAGAATCCTACAAAGTTTTAGATAGCAATATAATTTCATATATTGATCTAACCATTTGTGATTCTTTGATTTTTCTTTTGTGCTGTATATAAAATTTGCCTTCAACAAAATTATAAGTGTGTTATGCATGATAATTGCCTTAATTAAATTGCCAAGCCATTTAGCATGTTTATGCATTCACGATAGACAATTATGCATGATAATTGTCTTAATAAAATTAAACAGTAGTGACTCATGAGGTTGAAGGAATTATCATGGTATTAATCAATCTTTTAAAAGCTGAAATTATCATGGTATTAATCAAACTTATCCCAGGCACAAGCTTGTTGCTATGACCAAGTAAGAGAACTTGGATTTAATCTATAATGAATGAATTATGCATGTAAGAAAAAAAGAAAGAAAATTGAGCAATCTTTTCCCTCGAGATGTGTTCAGAAAAAGGAACAAAGATTAGATTTTGTGGTCGGTAAGTGTGCTATTAATTTATTATTCGTAACATTTCATTATTCGTAAATTGAGTAATCTTATTACCTTGAGATGGTGGTTCTGTTGTGCTAACATATCATTATTCGTAAAAAAATAAATTTTATATTATTGAAGTAATATGTAGATGGATGAATTATTCATCACAAGAGTGAGATAATATAAAGATTAGGGTCAATTAAATTTTATGCATAAGACTATATTATTTTAATACTTTTCATATAAACTGAAATCTTCATTGTATATAGTAACTTCCGTAGTATCTAATAATGTATAAAATGGACGAAGTGAAATGTATAAAAGTTGAATAAAGAATCGTAACATCATACAATTTATAAACTATGCTTGTTATATCCATAAAGTAAATATTTTATAAGAATATTATCATCTTTTGACATGATACTTATAGTTTATATAACACTATTAAGATTTAAATTTAAAAAATTTATTTCATATCTTGTACATAAAAGTAACTAAGAGAGGAATTAAAGTTTACTTTGTGAATTACTAATTAATACCTTAGTAGTTTAATATGTTATGCCCTTTCTAAGATAAAGTATATAAAAAATGGTGTAAAACTCTTCATAGAATTCTTATTTAAAAAGAAACCCAACTTAATTTTTTATGTTGTCAATTTAGTATTCTTATAATATGTAAAATCTAAATGTGGATTGAAAATTTTCACTATTATAATTTTATATTTGAATAATATCTTATTCACATTGTTTAGAAATATAATTGATGATCCTCTTAGTACAAGTTAAAAATATTAAAATATGGATGTATTAATTATCAACTTGACTTATTCGAGTCCTTTGTTTATTATTTTATATCAAAAGAATAATATTTTAAAATAAACATCTATTATCTCATGATAATTTAAATCAAAATATGATGTTATCAATATTATATTTATGGATAATAAACCTGAAAATATTTACAATTATTTATCTTTGCTTTTATGTTAATTCTTTTACTTAAATCCTAAAAAGATAAATTTTAATAATGTATTGTTAAAAGGAGTGAACTAAAAAGTCAAACATATTAAAAATCTATAATGTCACAATTGTATAAAAATTGTACCAAACTTTAGGTTTGCCTACTCTAAGATTATAACCACTTAAAGTTCAGAATGAGTGTATTTTAATGGTCCAATGCTAATTTATCATGGGCAACTAGAAAGGTATTTATACTTTCTTTTTATAGTAGTGTTTCAACTCATTACCAACTAGTGATGTGAAATTAAAATTTTTTCATTTAACTATCATGTAAGTTATTCATCTTTAAAATATAACAGCTTAGAATATTATTATAATATAATGGAGTGAGGATTTTGTGTGTTAGTTTACTTTTGTAGTAGAAATTGGAACTCTAACCCACTCTCACGAATTGTTAATTTATGGTAATAAACTATATAATTAAATAATATTGAGAAATAATACATTATAATGGAATAATTCTGTAATATAACTATATTTTATGTGGTAATAGTTATATCCACTCTTCTTTTTAAGAAAACATATAACCGATTGTTATAATAATACTTTTCACGGATGAAAGTTAATATTTGAAATTTTATTTGGGTTATCTTTTCTACAAGCAAACATTTAATCATTTCAATTTTATCAATAATATTTGAGACACATGTATTTTAATAATTTTTAGTTCATCTCAAAGTAAAATAATGACAATGCATAATGCATTACAATTTATTATTTATGATATTAAGACAATGAACCTATAGGGACTATAGGATTATGTAGAGGAGGAATGATAAAAGGTTTTATATCGAATGATTTGACGTCATCTCCAACTATAGCCTCTTTGATAGCAATGGTTAAAGAACAAAATTAATTCAATTAGTAAAATATTTTAAAACAAGATATAAATTTTAACAAACATACGAAGCAATAAAAACTATTGTCGAATATAGCAAAATTAGTAAAAATATAAGCTTTTAGATTTGAATGAAAAGAATTGAAGATAACTCTTCACGTAACATATTTCCTATATGGTCCACATTTAGTATAACTTGGTGTTATTTATCATTGGTTTTAATATCAAAACTACAATAATAATAATTAATACGGTATTTCAAATACTATAAATAAATAATAATTATTACTGACCTAAGATTTTTGCAAACTCTTCTAATG